AAGTGAAATAAGTGAGACAGAGACAGACAAATATCATATGGTCTTACTTATACGTGAAATTAGAACAAAAAAACAAAACTAAACTCATCAATAGAGAAGAGATTGGTAGTTACCAGAGATGAGGATGGAGAGAAAAATGAATGAAGGTTGTCAAAAAGTGCAAACTTTTAATTGTAAAATAAATGTCAGGGGGCTTTAATGTGCAGCATGCTGACTATAGTAACATTGTGTTGCATATTTGAAAGCTGCTAAGAGTGTAGATCTTAAAAGTTCTCATCATACTAAAAAAATTGTAACCATGTGTGGTGATGGATGTTAACTAGACTGATTGTGTTCATCATTTCACAATATATACAAATGTCTAATCATCACATTGTACACCTGAACCTAATATAATGTTGTATGTCAATTATACCTCAACTTTAAAAATAATAAAGTACAATTTAATAAAGAAAAGATGCATGCAGCATAATAAATAGAGCATGGTCACAAACAAAGAAGAATACCTATTTGAGAACAAAGACTGAGAAGAAATGATCAAAATGTTATCAGGGGTTGTCTCTACGTAATGGAATTATGTAACTTTCTATCATTCTCTACAATAGGTCAATATTAATTTATTGATCAAGAAAAAGGAAATACAGTAAAATGCTGGAGTGAAAAATGAAAATTAGATCACCAATGCTATATTTTGGTTTTTGGTTTTTCATTATTGTATCTATTTATTTACTTTAATTTTGTTTGTGGCTGCACCGGGTCTCCGTTGCTGTGCACGGGCTTTCTCGGGTTGCAGCGAGCAGGAGCTCCTCTCTAGTTGCGGCGCGCGGGCTTCTCGCTGCGGCATCTCTCGTTGCTGAGCACAGGCTCTGGATCACGGGCTCAGCAACTGTGGTACATGGGCTTAGTTGCCCTGTGGCATGTGGGATCTTTCTGGACCAAGGATCAAACGCACATCCCCCGAGTTGGCAGGTGGATTCCCAACCACTGGACCCCCCTCCCCAGGGAAGTCCCCATATTTTGCATTTAATTCAGAGCTTTTGGGTTGATTTTGAGGCTAAAGAAGCCCTACCTTCTGCCCCATCACTTTACCTGTCACCTGCCACCTTCCTCTCAGGTGAAGTTTGAAAGGAAGTTTCTGCCACCTCCTGACACATAGTCCCTTCCTTTCCCATCATGATTCTAGTCTGTTTCTCTCACCGCAACTTCACCCCCACCCTCTCAGATCTTTAGTATGGATTCATCAACCTGGTCCATGGGTGACACTTCTAAGGAGCTACTCTCTCAGGTAGGTGTGTCTCTAAAAGGATGTGACAAAATAACCCATTTTCAGTGACTAGGACTTGTGGCATGTGTCACAACCGTCCACCGCTTGAAAACCTTGGGATGACAGCCATGACTTAGCTAGACTCATCAGCTCCACCTAGACCCTCTGTCTGAATTCTGAGGACTTGCTACAGGTTTATTCACTCATAGGTCCAGCACCTTAGCACATCTAACGCAGAGAAACAGTTATGCACATCCTGTCACAGAATTAATATATTTCCTCATCAAATACACAGTTGGTTGCTCTTTACTCAGTATAATATCACAACCTCTGTATTAATCTGTTTCTTCTTGCAACAGCATATTCTTGCAACAACATATTCTTCTTGCAATAAATGTTAGAACAAAGCTCATATAATTAAATACCCTTGTCACTAAACTATTATACAGCCAAGTTCAACTACTCATCAGGTCTGCTCCTGCTTGTTCTGAAATTGTACATAAAATAGACTGTTAGTGTTAATTGCCTCAGTAAAAATAACATTTATAATATAATAGCAATGGCTCATTATGTGCCAAGCACCGTACCAAACTCATAATACCCTTTAATGTTCACAAGAACCCACACAGAAACTGAGGCAAAGAGAGGCTGAATAACTTGCCTCAAATCACACAGCTAATAATAGTGGAGCTGGGCAGTCTTTCTCAGAGCACCGTATGTACTCCCTTCCCCTTTCATGTGTTCTATCCCTTCATCCCAACTGTGTCTCCAAAAGAGAAATAGTTCTTAACATCCCCAACAAACAGCACTCTTGAACTTCCACTTTTGGTATCCTAAGATTCTCTCTGTTTTGCAACTCAAAGTTAACTGTTCTAAAACCTCACACCTTCATGTCTCCAGTGTTTTCATTTTTTCCACTTCAATATCCATCTCATTTTCTAATGTAATTCTTATGCATTATTTTTAGCTTTTTTAGAAAGTTTTTTAAGTGCTGAATCCCCTCTCATAAAATGCTTTAAATTTTAAAAAGCCTACCTAGAGGAAGCAGACTAGAATCATTATAGGGTCTGGGTACATGGTCAAGTAAATATTATTTTAATAAATGGGAAAAAAATTAATGAAGCCAAGAATATGCATGGTGGAATTTGGTTTGTTGGCAGCAGTCTATTAAAGAAGATATTTTTGAGTTAGCTTCCAGGGAAAGCAAAACAATTCAGAACAGAAACTAGCACTCTTGCCACTCTGTCAGGCTCAAGAAACGGGAACCCATGGAAATTTCTACCTGATGATTTGACCAGCCAGGAATTTGCCCTGTCTGCTCTCAAAGGGTTGTCCTCTTAAGTCTGGCTGTGATGAAAGCAGCAACCATCAAGAAGTGACTCTAAAAAGAGAAGACTGAGACAGGAAAAGGGAGGTAGTAGGTCATGTGATTGCTAAATTTCACCTACAATTGTAAGATGCCAAGAACTATTGTCCAATTGATAAGATATCGATAAGTCAAAAAATAAACATGTGACAACATTGAGGTTTATGGTTGTAACCATATGTTAATTTATAAAAATTAACATTTGAAGATGGGTGAATGTGTGCCTCTAGGAAATGGGGTGGTAAGGTCAGGAGAGAGCAGAAAAGCTTTTTTTATCTCACATATACCTTCTATACTATTTGAAATCTATAGGAATAGGTATTGCTATTGCTCTTCAATCACTCTGACTCTTTGCCACCCCATGAACCGCAGCACGCCAGGCTTCCCCGTCCTTCCCTATCTCCCAGTGTTTGCTCAGACTGTCTGTTGAGTTGATAATGCTCTCCAACCATCTCATCCTCTGTTGCTCCCTTCTCCTCCTGCTGTCGATTTTTCCTAGCATCAGGGTCTTCTATTATTGCTATAATAGAAAAATAAAATGACCAAAAATTACAATAATGTATATATACATATAGTATATATCTATCTATATATGTGTATACACGTGCATGTATACATGGAAACATGGCTACCATGAGTATATGCACATGTATGTATATATATCCATCTTTTCAAATATTCTTTTTTCCTTAGGGTGGCTTGTAAAGCTCATATGGGTACCTATTTTCACTTCATCAACTTCTGTATGCTTTCCAAAAAAAATGAGTGACTCAAAACTTACAGTCAAAGATCCTTCTATTTAGATAAAGAAATAAAAACCCCCTTTCCGCTGACATTTACAGAGAAGCTGCGATTACCAGAAGGCAAGGTGGTAGGCCTCAGGATGCAGGGATGAATAACTCCAAGGGCTTCTGATTAAGATGAAGGTCAAAAGTGCAAATGCCTAACCATTATGACGACACAAATGCAGTAAGTGGGAAAACTGAAGAAAAGAGCTCAAGAACTCAAGATGATGCCGAAAAGAGCATCAGTCACGGGTGTGAGCTTTTCCGTGGTGGAGAGGGGAAGTGACTGGAAGGCAGAGTGTTTGAAGTTACTTCCTCTTGTCCAGAAGTTTGGGAGCTGAAAGACACCCACCTCAGTTCTCCCCATTTGTCATCCTGCTCCAGCCAGATCAAGGATAAAGCAGAGGCCAGGGATCCAGACACAAAGAAATACTTTCCCTCCCTCTGCCTCTCTGCAGCCAGGTTATCTTAGGAGCCAGGAAACTAGAAGACATTCTGAGTCTCCCTAGAGCCTAGATCCCTGGAAATCTGGGCCGACATGTGAGTCTTATTCTTTTCCAAGAACTGAGGGCTTTGGAAAACAAGAGGCATACAGACCACCCCGTGCTTATGAGAAGTTGTGGAACCCTCCCTAGTAACCAGTGACGCAGCAATCTGGTGCTTCCATTGTCTGCTCATTGGATTGGCAGAATTTTTAAAGACTGAGCAAATTTATGTTGTTGAGGGTGCATAATAAAGGATACACCCATTCATTGCTGGTTAGGGTAGATACTGGCTTAACTTCTTGGGAGAACAGGTGGAAGCAGCTCCATAAAGTTCACATGCAAACCCACAACTGACAACCCCACAAGGACATCTTTGCAGAAAGATATATGCACAAAATGCTAATGTGGATGCTTGTAATAGCAGAACATTGTAAACAACTGAAATGACAATCAATGAAGATAGAGTTAAATTGATGGCAACATATCTATCTAAGGAAATACCATGTGCAACAATTAAAAACAATAAGGCAGATCTCTTTGTCTTGTCACAGGTAGGATGACAAGCAAAGAATGCAAATATCATAAAAGTACAGGGTTTGATCTCACCTGTGTTTTTAAAAATATATACGTGTTTGTGTGAATGCAAATGTCAGAGAAAGTGTCCCTTGTTATCTAAAATTTTATTACAAGTATTCATATTTCATTTACTGAATTTTTATAGTGAAAGAAAAATAAGAGTATTTTAAAATTCCTATTTCACTTATTGAATTTTTTAAAGTAAGAGTATTTTAAAATATGACAAGAGAAAGTGGAAAGAATTTTTTTCTCTTTTTTGCTGTGCCATGTGGCATATGGGATCTCCCCTGACCAGGGATTGTTCCCCCTGCATTGGGAGTGTGGAGTCTTAACCACTGAACTGCCAGGGAAATCCTAAGAATTTTTAAGTCAAGGGAGACCAGTGAGCTGCCCAGGACTCTAAGTAGAGAATTCAGCACAGTCCAGGTGTTGGTCTTCAGCCCAACAGGCTAAGTAGACTTTGCTATACCAGACCTGGGAGTGGTTTAACCTCCCAACAGCAAATTCAAAGTAGCTAAGCTTACCGGTGAGTGATGGAGAAATATGGACTTGTCATCTCCAGCGAGGTGTCTCAGCCTCCGCACTGTTGACTTTGGGGGCTGGATGACTGTCGTGTGTGGCGGTGACATCATGACACATGTAGCAGCGTTCCTGGCCTCTATTCTCCAGATGCCAGTATCACATCTCTCCCCCAATTGTGACGACCAAAAATGTCTCTAGATGGTGCCAAATGTCGCCTGTGGGGGTGTTGCCAGAATCGTCCCCAGTTGAAAGCCACTGATTTACAGTGAGAAATGTAAATGCCAGGAAAGCCAGATGCTGCGCTGCAGGAAAATGACAAGGGCAACCAAACTACAACAGAAGGTTGCTAGGAGAGCAGGAAGTCAGGACAAAGGCAGTTAAAAAAAAAAGAAAATATGATTTAAATATCTGATGACTTTGACCTGGGATAGCCTCATACTCTCCAGAGGATCTCTGTCTCTGGACAGTTACCTTGGTTGGGCACTGAGAGCTCTTTCCTCTCTGACCCACATTAACGAATGGTTCCCCTTTGATCAGCACTTTTACCCCCAGAGAAACCAACGTGGTCCATTGTGTGAACGCTCCTTAAACAGACCCATGACCTTGAATGACAGAAGAGTGTAAACCCATAGAAGCAGGTGACCTCTGAGGGCAACAGAGCTCCAAATGCCCCACCACAATCACATCCTTGCTTTGAAATTGTTTCATCTTAAAACTCTATACTTCAAATTAAAAAATACTTCAATTTAAAAAATTAATCTAGGTAAGAACCTGAAAAAAAAAAAAAAACTATGTGATTTTGCCCTCTGCTCTGCCTGATATGTATGTTTTTATTTTAACAAAAAGCAAGTACATCTCCCAAATCCTAAATAGCAAACTTTGGGACATCACTTTGCCGATGAAGGTCAGTATAGTCAAAACTATGGTTTTTCCAGTAGTCGTGTACAGATGTGAGTTGAACCATGAAAAAACCTGAACACCAAAGAATTGATTTCAAACTGTGGTGGTGGAGAAGACTCTTGAGAGTCCCTTATCGACTGAACAACAACAAACTTTGGGAAGCTACACAAGTTTCTCCTGTGGCTTCATGCTCTCCCAGGCACCTGCCAAGGTATAAAGGATAGACAACTTCTTGCTCTTCCTCATCTCATTCAGGGAGAATATTTCCATGAGCTTGAAAAAGGTGCAGAGTTGCTTGGGGAATGTTCTTTCTTGAGGGCAGCTTGTGCACCTGTCTGAGCTCCACAAGTGTACTGTTTACACTCCCAGGTCCAAGGAAAGCCCGCCCATGGTCACCTGTACTGAGCAGCTCACAGTCTCTGCAGCAGCTGAGCTAAAGCAGCCACACAGACAAGAAAATGACGTACTAAGCTTTCTCTGTCCCCAGTAGAATTCTAGTTAAGACAAATGCTGTATGATTTCATTCATGCGTGAATATTTTAAAAATTTTAGCTAAATGAACAAACCAAACCATACAAAAATGAACACATAGATACAAAGAACAGAACAGTGTTTATCAGAGGGGAACAGGGATGAGGGGAAGAGAAAAATGGTTAAAGAGGGTCAATTTTATGGTGACAGGAACTAAACCTTTGATGAGCACGCTATAGTGTATATAGAAGTTGAAATATACTATTGTACACATCACATATATAAAATGCTATAAACCAATTTTAAAAAAAATGGACAACCAATTGAATCATTTCAAGCAATACTGCTTCTTGAGATTTTTTTTTTTTTTAGAAATTTCTCTTAGCAAGAAAGAGATTGGGGTGGGGAGGATGGGACATGGGAGGCTCTATTTCTAAATCAGACTTCCATGGAATTTTATTTTCTCTTATCTGAGGGATTTCATGTTTTAATGTGGGGTCAGAGGGCAGATTAAATATAGTATATTTCAATAATGGTTCACTTAAAGCATGTGTTAAGACTGACTTTTGCAGGGGATGAAGCACTCACGGTTGAAAAACCACAGCAGGGAAGCTGCTCAGGAAATGCTGAGCTCCTTCTGTCTGTTATCAAGTCACAGTGTTGGACCCTGCGGTCTGGGACAGGTCTAAGATGTTCTGAGACAAACACTTTTGAGGTTGCAGCCATGACTTCATCATCCTCACTTTAGTATCATTTGGAAGCCTACTTTTTTTTTTCTTGTTCCCATCTCTCCTCATCCAATCCCTTCTTTATTTATATACCATAAATACAGAATCTGAGAAAGGACAGAACTAGTCACATGCCTTTCCTCTGATTCCTCCCAGAACTGGGAAGGAGTTTCACGTTTTGCTGTTGCCTCCCTTGCCAATTCTATATGTGATGTTGATGTACTTTAATCATTAAATAGTTTCTTGGTAGAACAAGATTTTCTGTTTTTACAATTTCCCTGAAAAATGACTAAGAAAAATGGGCTGTGGATCTTCACCTTTTCTTCCCTTCAGAATATTTTTCAAAGACTCAAATCTCCGTCCTCTTATTCTCATCAGTAACTGGAAACCCTCTTGAAAGTTAGATTTGTGGAGAGATAAGCAAGGCATTGGTTCCTGCAATTTCTAGGCCCACGGAAAAAAAAAAAAACAACTCAGCCACACCAGGGACTATTTACACAGGTAGGAGGCAGGGAGATATGAGAAGCATAGTTCTGCAAAAAGGGGTTTCATGTTAAGAAAAGTAAGGACCAGCATGAATTAGGCGGTATGTCAGAGCAGAAAAGTAACCCAGTCCACTTCAGCCTATAAGGAGAAATCAGACCAAAATAAGGCCACACTGGGATTTCCCAGGGGTGCAGGTTTGATCTTTGGCTGGAGAACTAAGATCTCACATGCCTCCTGGCCAAAAAGCCAAACCATAAAACAGAAGCAATATTGTAATAAATGCAACAAAGACTTTTTAAAAAATGGTCCACATCAAAAATAAGTCTTAAAAAAATTGGGGGGAGGGGGGTCATACCAGGATGGGGCCAGAAACACATGAGGATTAAGGGTGTCTGTTTTGGACACAGGTAACTTGGGTGTGAACCAGCTCTGCCACTGTATTAACTACAAGTTACTTAGGCTCTCTCTGCTTTCATTTCTCATATGTAAAATGGTGGCAATAGTACGGCTTCATCCAGCAAATGTTTATGAGTACCTGGTAAACATCAGGCATGCTTCTAGACGCTGGAAAGTGGGGAGGGGACTATGGAGGCCAAACCGTTCATGGCCACTGCTCCTGGGCAGTTTACATCCCAGGGAGGAGTGATGAGAACACAGAAAAACAGAGACTGATTTCTGTAACAAGTGCTGCAAAGAAAACCAAACAGGATGATGTGACAGAAATTGGTGGGAGAAAGAGGGCAGCAAAGCCCGAGAGCAAACAGCTGACTGATGGCCGAAGGATGGAGACACACCAGCCACGTGAAGATGAGGAGAAGCACATGCAGGCAGAACCTGCTTCCGAGGGCATTTCATAAGGACTCGATGAGATAAAGTGTGGAAAATCTTAGTGCAGCACCAGACACAACAAATGGAAGTTACTCAACAAATGGAGGCAACCATTATGATTCAGAGGACTTGGGGAAATTCCCAGAGTCAGGGCATGAGGAAACCGGGTGAGGGAATGACAAGGACATCAGGGAAGAAACTGGAGCCAGAGGGTTGACGGTATGTCCTCACCCAAGCAGGCCAGCTGGAACAAAGGAGTCACGGGAGGCCTGTGAAGGACCCCAGGACAAACTGCAGAGCTCAGGCCCATCTAGAAGGAGCAGCGGGGCCACACTCCACTTCTCTCGTTACCCTGATCCCTGTGACTTGTCCTTCTGGTCTGCATACAGCAGGTCTCTCAGCTCACCCTACCCAAGCACCTCCCCCCTATACCTGGGAGGTCTCTGCCCATCTGGTCTGGACTCTCGGGCAGGAGGTGGGCAAACAAGTCAAACAGCATCTGTCTAATCTCCTGTTTTATAGATGAGGAAGCTGGGGCCCAGGGAGGTGATGAGATACTAATAGGAAACACAGCTCCTCTCTCAAACTTGAATATCGCTTGTGCCTCCCTCAATCAAGAAGGTTGTCTTTTTCCACCTGGGCTCTCCCTGAGTCTGTCCTATAGCTCAAGAGATGGCATGAAGAGAGCAGCAGGGGAGAGGGGGGTCACCTGCCCAGCCAGCCAACCCTGGTTCTCCATGGGGTCACTGATGCCACAATGAACTATCCCCCACCCCCAGAGAATGAAGCTCCAGTGCACCTAGTTTTCAGAACTGTGAGAAGAATCTTCTGGCAGGTCATGGGGATGATGAGGAGACCATGATACCACTATCAACCACTATCATAATGGTTGATAATATTATCAACATCGAGGGCACTGGTTGAGCAGGCCATGTACATAGCAGGGCAGGATGGTGGGGACCAGCCCTAGAAAACAGATCTGGTCAAAGGAACAATTAAATCATCCAAAGAGTATCAATGGTACAGCCTCAAATACAGAGATGCAGGGACTTCCCTGGTGGTCCAGTGGTTAAGAATCCACCTTCCAATACAGAGAAGGCAGGTTCAAATCCTGGTTGGGGAACTAAGGTCCCATATGCAGCAGGGCAAATAAGCCCAGACATCAAAACTAGAGGAGCCCTCCCACTGCAATGATGAGCCGGCATACCACAATGAAGACCCAGTGCAGCCAAAATTTAAAAATTAGAAAACAAAAGCACGGAACTGCAGAAGGTAAGAGAAATAATGATATCCCCTTCCATCTGAAAACTGCTTTCTTGTCCCACCCAGATGGCTTACAGAGGAGACAACCACAGCCCAAGGAGGTTAACTCAGATGTTGTGATCCCCCATGCCCTGCTCTCATGAAGGCAAAGCCCATGATATTAGAGTACGCCTTCCATGGATGAGGAACACAAGGCTCCCATCCGTGAAACCATGAGACAGCAGCTCCACACACACAGGCCCACCCCAAGAGGACCTGCTGGTCGGAGCTCCACTTACACTTCCTGGGTGACACCACGCACTTTTCATCTGCAGACTTTGTAAATACTCTTTCCTTTGCCTGAAATCCTATTCCACGTGTCTCTCCCCAGCACGAACCTCATTTGCCTGCCTAAATCCTATTTATTTTGTCACAATGTAAATATCACCTCCTCCAGGAAGTCTTCAGGCTTCCCTGATAGCTCAGATGGTAAAGAATCCATCTACAATGCAGGAGACCTGGGTTCAGTTCCCAGGTCAGGAAGACCTTCCCCTGGAGAAAGGAATGGCAACCCACTCCAGTATTCTGGCCTGGAGAATTCCATGGACAGAGGAGCCTGGTGGGCTACAGTCCATGGGGTGGCAAAG